ATACGTAGTAGTTCTATGTAAACGGAATACTGGGACAAGCTGTAATTCGTCTATAGTTCGCTTAATCATAAGTTAAGTAGGAACAAATTATGAATAAAAAATATTTTATTTGTGTTTAATAAAATAGTTCTTTGTTAAATACAGGTTATTTTACTATTGTTAAATAAACGACATTAATTATACGATCAAACGAACTTACCTGAAGTGAAGTTCGATCGTAATTATATGAGGCGTCCAGTCCGAATGTATTATCTTGATTTTTCTATACGTAGTACCGTCCCTGCGTGCACAATTTTAAAGCTATAAGCTAAATTCCCTCCCGCTACCAGCCTAGGTGGCGGCGCCGGACCTGGCAAAAATCTTCCATTATGTTTTACATATTAGGTATATGCTTCATAATTATTTTCAATAGCGTATTTAATAAGCGCTATAATTATGGTCTGTTATACAATAGTCTAGTATTGAGGTTGAGTAAGAATGAAAATAAAATGAGTTTTTAGAAATCCATTAAATAATTTAACATAATGACCCTTGTTTTACTTTTTTTCTAATATCGTTATTAGCATTTCTAATATGCATAGAGCGGACTGTCCGCGTCCGCGCGGACCATCGTGTGTAATTTAAAGTACTCTCGGAGTACTTTCACCTGTGCTGTCAATATGCACATGTTAAAGAACGTTTTAAGAAATCGTTTTTCGAAACTATTAAGAAAAAAACAAAGCTATTGCGGATTTTATGAACTTCTAAAGTCCCAAAAGCAAAAGTTGTTTAGACTTTTATTGTAATATACCGGATGGCCAACTAAGAATGAACGCCGCGCCGGCTGTATCTCAGAAACTACTTATAAAATAATATAATAATTTTAGAAAAAAAATTGTAATAAGTAAATCGGTCAAGAAAAATTGCTGGAAATTATTTTCAAGATTGAAAAATGTCCGCTAGGAAGCGCATCTGTGATGGCTAGGATGGTCAGAAAACAGGATTTTTCTCAAAAATATGCAGGTGAAAAGGTATTTTAAAAATTGCTATTGTTATCAATGGAAAATTTGTATTTTTTGCTTTTATTAAAATAGGGATATGTCTGGTTTGGGTTAGCCGATGTAAACAAGCTAGGGCTCGTTTAAAAGATCCTTTCTTTCCTAATGATTTGCAGTATAAACTTTGTCTACATATATATTGCAGTGGTAGCTAGAGGGGCTGTTGCGCGTTTGCACAAAAATATCAAATGACAGGCTATATTTATTTTTACACAGTTAAATAAAAAGATACCACAAACCGCAACTTTCTATCTCCTCCTTAACGGGAGATATTATGAAGAAAAAAACAAAATTAGGCTGCAGCCTAGATATATAATAATATTATTGAAACTTATAAGTAGGCTAGAAAACAAAGGTATAATAAAATAAAAAGAGGAAAATCGATAAAGTCAAAATATTAAAATATTTTAGTTTCATTTTAATGTCATTTAATTGTTATTTATCCAAGTTCGTTCTTGATTAGACCCCATAAATAAACCCCAGACATGTTAAATCCGGTGGCCTAGCTGGCAATGGAAATATGCCAATATATGAAGTAAGATGTATCCAAGAAGCTCCACACATTCATAGCAAAATAAGCCTCATAACTGCACCAATGAGGACCTTCTAACAAAATTGGCAATTCCTCTCTTAGGAATTATTATTAGTTCATTCCATTCAGATGATTAAAAAAGTCCAATCATTCGCCCTCCTAGAATTTCTCCCCAAACGTTTATCGCCCAACGGTCTTGGTGCTGTACTACTGGCATCAAGGGCATGGGTAGATTTGTTTTGAACCAATATTTCTCAGTTACTTTGTTGAATATTTATATGATGTTACTAGCTCTATTTAACCGACGCATATGTAGAATGTAGAATGGGTAAGAGGGGGGTTAATCACTGCGATCTTAAAGATCTATTGGGCCCCCCTTTCTTGAGTCATCACACATTCTATAACCCATCATACCTATGTTGTAGAGGGGACAGGGTATTTCCCATCCTTCTCTGACAACAGATGTTCTTCCTCAACCAAAACCAAACCTTCCAAACCAAACCGACGCATATTCGAAGTACACATTTCTAAACTTTGGCGTTCAAATTTGTCGCTTTTGGTGCACTCCTTGAAAGTGAATTTCTTTTTTGTTTATATTTTGTTGATTCCGGGGCTATTACTTGCGCCCTATAAAAGTTCATAATAGTATATTGTTTTATTAGGAGTAAAAATTACACTTTTTTCTGGCGAGGCTGTACGTTTGACACTGTTTGTACTGTCGACATACAGGCGAGCCAAAAAAGTCATTTTTACTTCGAATAGAATATGCTATTTTTAGCCGACTATACCAACAGGTATGGTAGGCTATTAAGATCGGCAAAAAAAAGTTTTTTTAATTTCACTGAAAATTAATTATTTGGGTCATAAATGACCTAAATACAAAATATTTGCATGGTGTCTGTCTGTCTGTCTGTCCGTCTGTAACACGATAACTCAAAAACCGCTAAACCTATTTTTACCAAATTTGGCACAAAAATACTGTGGCAACCGAGAATCTGGCCATTAGTTTTTTTTGTTGGTAAGGGGGTATGGGAGGGGGTTAAAAATTAAAAAAAATCGTAACTCCAAAATTACAGTAGCTAGCGAAACGCGGTTTTCAATTTAAGATTAGGAATAATATTTACAACAAAATTTGAAATAACATCAAAATCAGTCAAAGTCGCAGTTTTTGAGATAAAAAAAAGCTTTTTATTAACATATTTTAGTATGGGCGGCTATACGTGCTTCCCGGCGCCAACAACCGTTTTTATGTAATTATATTTATATATCGAGAAACTATGGTTACGCTGGTTGAATTTGATACTTCATGTTAGTTTAATTATATATTTTCGTACTTTTATGCTTAGGCTTAAAAGTGCTTTACTTTTATGTCTAGGCGTTAAAATAACATTCTTTATAGTTTCTTTTTTGCGACATCCGGATTTTGTCCGGATTCACCGGATTTTGTCCGGAGTTCACTTGTCCGGAATTTCCAAAAGCCTTTATGGAAATCCTAATCTTATATATTTTTCATTATACAGTTCTGGAACAGGTGCGCTACATCCTACGTCACTGTATTTGGGAGGTGATAAAGCTAAGAAAGATTCTTTGAGAATGTCTTTATATATTTTTTTCTGTCAAAATAAACTCGTAAAAAATAAAACCGGAAACTTCAAATTTTTCGTCATATTTGTGGAAATCGAAAAGATAAATTCAGTTACTAAACGGATTATCATTGGGCTCACTGATAGTCAACTATGCCCCAATTTAAGTCAACCTGTATCGCTCACCATTTCCGAGACCCCAATGGTGAAAGCCTAACATCCTGTACAGGGTGGGTCAAATTGGACGCTTTTAAAGGGAATCACCCTTTTCTATAGAAGATAGACGAAAACGAATATCGGTGTCCGGAGCTCAATTTTTGTCAAAAACATGATGGTGAAAACCGCATATCGATATCTGTTACTGTTTCGGAGTTACGGGGTGTTTTTAAAAAATGTGCATTTTTAACAAATTGCTGAACTTTTTTGCTATGGAAAATTTTGTATTTTTATGGAAACATTTCTAAAGCATCTTTTTACGTAGAATTTAATGGTTTAAGTATAATTTTTTTAAAATTAATAATTTAAGAATTATCAACAGAAAATTTCATTTTTATAAGGGACACCCTGTATATTTTTAATTTATTGAAAATAATTTAAAATTACCTTTCCAAAAATATAGCACACTTGATATTTTGCTCGATTCCTCTTCGAGATATAGAGTTTATAAAAATTCGTATTTAAATAAGTAGGCTTTGAACGGCGCGCACTGTAATGCAAAAAAATTCCAGCTGTGAGCATCAATCATCAATTTATTATGAAAATAATATTTGCAATGAGAGATGCAGCATTTTATATGAATTTAAACTATATTTAACCAACATCAACACATTTAAACTATATCTAATAACAATAAAAATAAATAGCAAACCAAGACATGAGATTTTGCCACAGGTGTTCGACATATCGACCGTCTTCTGTTATGGACAGACGGGGCCGTTTTTGAACATTTCTCGCGGAATTCATTAAATCAGTGGGGGATGAATCTCATAACTACTAAGTACTTCTAATGCTTGTCAAAATTAACGGACAATTTCAAAATAAGAACATTTATTCTTCCGCAAAGATATCCATAGGATTAGATCCATAGGCACTAAGTCCGGTGGCCTCAACGGCCAACGGCTGGGATCTTGGTTAGCTATTCAATTATTCTTGAAATTGGCTGCAAAAATTTGCTTATAACTTCAGCGTTCTGAGGCGGTGCCTCGTCTTGCTGGAAAAATATGTTTTCGAGTTCCATTAGGGGCATATCATCAAAAAGGGCTGCAAAGCCTACTAGTTAAAAGTGGCGAACTTTTAAAAATTCTGTATTTCGAAGGAGATTATAACAAAACATCAAGTGTGCTATATTTTTGGAAAGGTAATTTTAAGTTCTTTTCAGTTAATTAAAAATATACAGGTTGTCCCAAATAAAAAAAACAATTTTTCTATTGATAACTCTTAAATTATTAATTTAAAAAAAAATATACTTAAACCATTAAGTTCTACGTAAAAAGGTGCCTTGGAAATGTTTTCATAGAAATACAACATTTTCCATAGCAAAAAAGTTACAGCGATTTGTTAAAAATGCACATTTTTGAAAAAACACCCTGTAACTCCGAAACGGTAATAGATATCGATGTGCGGTTTTCGACATCATGTTTTTGATGAAAATTGAGCTTCAGACACCGATATTTATTTTCGTCTATCTCGTATAGAAAAGGGTGTTTCCCTTTAAAAGCGTCCAATTTGACCCACCCTGTATATCCATTAAAAAATCTAATCTAATGATCAGATCTTACTACAATATTTTTTCACTGGTATATATTTTTATATTTCATAGAGTTTATTACACACATGTTCCTGTTTCAGGTCATTTGCGTCACCAGGTTTACTACCGTACGATAAGTCATCAGTTAAAGAAGATAGAAACGAGATTAATTTAGTCGAATTATATACTCGTCACTGAACGTACAGACAACAAAACAGTGATCAGGTTGGACTCAAGGTCGAAGAAAGAAACAACTACAAGCTGGTCTTATTTCGTAGAAATGTGTCTTGTGCTGAATATTAAGTAGAACGTAAATTGCCATCAATACATCAATTATTCCACGATGGGTGTGTGTTTTATCTGTGATGCGTAAGTACCTAATTTGCAATATTTTTACGATCTATAAACTGAATATTATAAAATTTATAGGACGCGACGCGACGCGCAAAATTGATATATAGCGGGTCTTTTTCAAAAGTGGCTCCCCCTATAACTTTTTTAATTGTTCAACCAATCACACTTTGTGATTGGTTGATTCTGCCCAGTTCCGTATTTAATATAGTATGTATCTACTAAAATTTTAAAGCAAATTTAATCTTGAACATTATATCGGGTGCGTCTCAAAAGTGGCTCACCCCTATAACTTTTTTATTTTTTTCAAATAAAACAACGAGATTCGGTATGTTAGTATGTGACATAAATTAGGATTGATTGACATATTTAATTGTTTTCTGTCACTTTCAGTCTCACCGGAAATGACTACAACTTTTGATTTTTAAATAGCACCATCGGTATATTTTTTACTTTATTCGATAGAATATGACACTCTGATTAGAATGACATATTATATATCAACTTTTGACATTTTCGCATATGGTTTACTTTAAATTATAACATGCGGTTCATAACAATAATTTGATTCGAAATACCAAGTGTGTGGTATCAAATTATTCGTAAAAAAATGCTTATTCCAAATATGCTAATGAGCCAACCTCGTTTCATTTGAAACGAGGTTGAAAAGATTGAGATATGATTAAAAATACGATTTGGGCATCTTTTAACCGGCCAGGACAAGACATTAAAAAGATTAGACGATTAAGTCTATTTTTCCAAGGCTCCTTGATTAAAAATTAGTGTTTTTAACACAGCCATGGCACTCTAGATTGAAATTTAAAATTCGATTTGTTTTTGAGCGAATATGTCAAAAGCTGACATATGACATGTCATTCGATTCAGAGTGTCATTTTCTCTCGAATAAAGTGAAAAAATACCGAGGGTGCTATTTAAAAATCAAAAGTTGTAGTCATTTCCGGTGAAACAGGAAGTGACCGAAAATTGAATACGTCAATCAATCCTAATTTATGTTATAGGGTGCGTCTCAAAAGTGGCTCACCCCTATACCTTTTTTATTTTTTCAGATAAAAAAACGAGATTTGGTATATTAGTATATGACATAAATTAGGATTGATTGACGTATTCAGTTGTTTTTGGTCACTTCCTGTTTCACCGGAAATGACTACAACTTTTGATTTTTAAATGGCACCCTTGGTATTTTTTTTACTTTATTCGATAGAAAATGACATTCTGAATAGAATGACATATCATATGTCAACTTTCGACATTCTCGCTTAAAACAAAATTGAATTTTAAAATTCAATCTAGAGTGCCATGGTTATGTTAAAAACACTTATTCTTAATGAAGGAGCCATGGAAAAATAGATTTTATTGTTTGATGTTTTTAGTGTCTTCTCCTGGTCAGTTAGAAAATGCTCAAATCGTATTTTTAATCATATCTCAATTTTTTCAAATGGAACGAGGGTGGCTCATTAGCATATTTGGAAAAAGCATTTTTTACGAATAATTTGGTACTACACACTTGGTATTTCGATTCAAATTATCGTTACGAACTGCAAGATATAATTTCAAATAAACCATATGCGAAAATGTCAAAAGTTGACATATGATATCGTCCTATTGCTGCCTAAAGTCACTAACTAACATTTTCCGAACAACCAAAAATTCAATCACTAACTATATTTTGAAGCGGAGAATCGATTGAAAAATTCATTAACTACGATTTCTGGCTATTTATGTTTTATTTTGATACCGAATAGTTACTAACTATAACATCTTTATGCAATGCAATTCATCTTTAGACGCGTTTTCTCGGAAGTAACAAAAAGTAAGTTAGTGACTTTTGGCAGCAATGGGACGATATGTCATTCTATTCAGAGTGTCATTTTCTATCGAATAAAGTAAAAAAATACCGTGGGTGCCATTTAAAAAACAAAAGTTTGAGTCATTTCCGGTGAAACCGGAAGTGACCGAAAACAATAAAATATGTCAATCAATCCTAATTTATGTCATATACTAACATACCAGATCTCGTCTTTTTAACTGTAAAAATAAAAAAGTTATAGGGGTGAGCCCCTTTTGAGGCGCGGAAATTACTACAACTATTGATTTTTAAATGGCACCTTAAATTAGGTATTTTTACTTTATTTGATGACAAAAATGACATTCTAAATAGAATGACATATCATGTCAACTTTTGAGGTCTTCGCTTAAAAAGAAATAGTATTTTAAATTTCAATCTAGAGTCAATCTGTGATGAAACCACTCATTTTTAGTCAAGGAGCCTTGGAAAAATCAATTTGATCGTTTAATGTTTTTCGTAATTTTTTTTGGCCGGCTAAAAGATGCCGATTGTATTTTTAACCATAAATCATAACTGAAGTTTTTCAAATGACATGAGGATGGCTCATTAACATTCGTGATAAACAATAGTTTTTGTTATGATTATTGTTTGTTCCTAAGTAATTAAATAAGTTCCTAAGTAATAATAATAAATTAGTATGTAGAAAAAAATCGTGGATATTTGGGAAGGCTCAAAAGGAAACAATTATGTTTTTTTGACACGTTTCGCTACTTTATTATCGCTTTTTTACTTACTTGACGCTTCCCGCGAAACGTTGCAAAAACATCTTTTTTCTTTTGAACCTTCCCAAATACCCACGATTTTTTTCTAAATATTTTTTGTTTCATAACTAATGTATAAGAATGGGCGGTGTCTTTGTTGTTAATTTTTTTCAATACAATTTAATAGCCGTGGCACTTAGCGTTTTATATAAGTCGTTGGTTATGGAACTTTTTACAAATAAAACTTGACAAACCGATTTTTTGGTACTTACAACATTATGTAATTCATGTATATTTGGAAAATGCATTGTTTTTTACCATATAGTTTAGTACCATATACGTGCAAAATGAAACACTAATTGACCACAATTAATACACAGAGATGTGGTGAATTAGTGTTTTAATTTGGTGTTGTCACACCAAAGGTTCCAACCTTCAACTGGAACCATACACTTGCTATTTTGAGTCAACTTTTCGTTATGTATATGCCATGATCTATGGCCATGACACGCTAGATTAAAATTATGGAGGATAGAGATAGGCAAAAGAGTCCCATAAGAGTATGGGACTTTAATTGAAAAAGTCTTCACCAAAATGGTAAAAATAAAGGTTCACTAAATGACCACAGATGCGCTAACAAGCAGTAAGATTACACAAAGATACTCCTTAGTTCTATCCTCCATAATTCAAATTTAAAATACTATTTTTTCCAAGCGAAAATCTCAAAAGTTGGTATATGGCATGCCATTTTATTCAGAATGATATTTTCACTTTTGAAAAATACCCGGAATAAGACTAACTATGAAAAATGGGAAATTAGAATCGTGAAAAATAATCGAAACATTTTTTGTTTGAAAAATTTTTGCCTCAAAAAACAAAACTTTTTTGAAAAATAATGTTATTTTTTCCTGTCGTTACTTTTTAGGAAATAAAAAACTAATTGCACATTCTTATATAGCTACTTTATCAGGGCTATTTGATATTATTTTTAGATTTTCAAATTAGCTGATAATTTATATACATAACTTAATTTTTTTACATATATACGGACATGCATTTTTTATTTCAGGTTTTGAAAGAATTCGGACTCCTGAGTACAATGATATGCCACACTTTATATATTATATATATATATATATATACAGTATATATAAACTAATATATATATATATATATATATATATATATATATATATATATATATATATATATATATATATATATATATATATATATATATATATATATATATATATATATATATATATATATATATATATATATATATATATATTTTTTTTTTTATTAGTTTCGGGCATTTAAACACAGTTTATTTAAACTATTATCAAGTCCGGATCTGTTTTTTTTTAAATTTTAATCTATTTAATCGTTACAATATTGATGAGCCTTAAAACTTAACTATGACTAGGGTAAAACATTGAATACGGAAAATCAAATACAATAAAATAATAAAAAATAATATAAAGTAAAAAATATAAATATAAAATAATATAAACCAAATAAAAAACTGAACGAAAAATGAATTTGTGCAATAGGGAGGGTGATAACCTTTTTTAACATGTAGACATTAGAAACTAGTTTACACAAGTTGATTTAGTTATAATAACTTTGATTAATATTTGCATATTATGAGATCGTACATTGAGATTTCAAATTCACAATAAAAAAAGTTAAATTATTATTTATTTCAATCTTTCAAATGGCTTGGTTTTTTGTTATTTAATGTTAATTAGCACTCGTCGATATTGTTACAATTAATATAATCAAGTTAATAATAATTAAAAAAATAAGTGAGTCGGACTTGAAATTATTTAAAATAATAATTAAATAGTTTTGTTGTTGTTTAACTATACGCAAAACAAGAAAATAGATATATAAAGTGTGACATATCGTTTTACTCAGGAGACTGAATTCTTTCAAAATCTCAAATAAATTTTCATAAATTATCAGGTAATTTGAAAATCTAAAAATACTATCTAGCCTAGATAAAATGGCTATGAGAATGTGCAATTAGTTTTTTTTTTATTTTCTAAAAAGTAACGGCAGGAAAAAATATAATTTATTTTGAAAAAAAATCCGGTTTTCTTAAAGAACTCAGTAAAGCCCAGTTCATGCACCTGCGAAATGCGATTTACGAATTGCGAAATGCGTTCTTTTTGCCTTGCAATTGGTCGCTTTCAAGGTCTTCCTTGAAGGTAGTCAATCAGAACGCAAACAGAACGCATTTCGCAATTCGTAAAACCTAATTCGCAAGTGCATGAACTAGGCTTAATCCTTGGTTTTTTTGTAGCACCATGTATCATATTCTCATATTCTTCCGAACTTATTTATTTACATCTTGTACTGTTGTAATATTTGTTAATATCCTTAAATTTACATTATATTTAGAGGTTTATTGGATTGTAAAAATTAATTACTGGAATTTTTTT